ATATCTGTATTTGGTTTACGATAGGAGGAAAGTCTTGAAAAGACATGTTAATCAGATCATTCTGTGTTTTAGTACTTGGCCATAAGGCCATCCCAAACCATGGGTTTTCTGTAGGAGTTACAGTGGAGTAGCACTAGCAATGGTACCAGTTAATACCTTTGCAATATCCATTGATGACATTACTTTGAGTAATGATATTCGGAACAACTAAGCAATCACAACTCGTCTAATCAGTTCATACTTTCTTGTCTTCAGTATTACTCCATAAAGATTCGCATTCCATTCATGTTAATTTTATCTTTTTCCCATCACTTATGAAGGTTTCTGTGTTCAACAGTTATTCCATTCTTCACATCATGTTATATTCAACTCACAAACGGTTTGCTATACCCAACTGATTTCGTGAATTATATCACTCTCTGATTTTGTATTACTTTTACTCTGGATCGTTTGGTGAAGAGTTAGGTCATTTTCGATATTCATATTACTCCTAGGTAGTCCATGTTCATTGTATTCAGTGTATGTTTGATGGTGGTCCAGGTTTTCTGTTCTCCATTAACCTACATGCTGATGTGGCCAATAGTCATCTAAAATTCAATAGTCCGCTTATAATCCGACTATTGGGAGTAAGGATGATTATTTGCACATGTGGACATGTGGGTATTGACAACAACAATGGTGATGGTTGCAATATTTGTCCATTTGTTGGGCTTGTTTTATTTTGAACTAGTCAATCGAACAAGAACTGTTGTTGAAGTTGGAGCTTCTCGCTCCAATTATCTAGATCACTGCACTGTCTTTTTCTTTCTTTAAGGATCGACAATCCATTGATGTTTTCGCAGTGGTTGCCGTTGTTCTGTATTTTAATATCATTATCCATAGACGCTGCTCCAACAAACCGCGATGAGGTAGATGATTTACAGAATGCTGACAAGCAACGGCGCTGGGAACAGGAACAACGACGGAGGGAGGAGGTGCAGGTACATCTGCTCATTGTACCTTTATCTTTTACTACTTTTCATTACTTTCATCAGTTGTACTAGATCGAAACTACTAAACTATGAACTTCTAAACTGAAATTCATGAAGAGGAATAAGAGAGAAGAGGCTTTCAATAAAGAATTATTCTGACCTAATGAATAAAGAGATGCAGGGTAAAATATTACTTGAAAGAGTATTATTCTGACCTAATGAAAAACTTCGCGTATGTCCAATCTTTGATAGGGAAGTATCGGGGAGAGGAGGGAGATATGAGTACTCTACACTGTTTGAAGTGAACTTTTTTCAATTGGGATCAATAATTTAGAAAGAAGAGATAGCGAAGTACGTGAAATATATGAGGTATCTGGAAACCGTGCTTAATATCTTGCAAGCAACACCGCAATGGAAAGAAGCAATGCAAAGTATGACACAAGAAGAAATGCTGGTTCCTCTTGCTACTTCATTATTATTCTCCTTTTTGAACTGGTTATTAACTTGTCCGTAGAATTGATTTTGCAGAAGTCTTAGGTACGACTGTCCTATAAGCATGTTTAAAATTTTTAACTATTAAATGAACTGAATATACGTAACTTGCTTTTTTCTTGTTTTCTTCTAATTTAGGTTTTTCAATTTTAAACTTTAAAACATTAAAAACACGGTTGAGTCGTTGAGTCATGTGGTATATTGTATTACGACATTCTTGAAGTTCGCTATTACTGACGATTTTGCCTTGATTAATTCATGTCAACTGTCACTGTCCCGGTCACTAAAATTCCGCGTTATCTTTACTGAAGACTTGCCACTTTCATTAAGTGCAATACTAACTTTTGGGGAGCTGCCGAAGCGCAGATGTTTTCCTCATAGATGTCATTCCATGATTTAGGCATCACCTCTTACATTTGAGCACGTAAATATCTGATGGCATAATTTTGAATTAACGGTTTTTATCTGTATAATTTCTCAACATTTCATTAAGGAAAATCAGATTTCTTTTCAGTTCTTTTTACTGACAGTTCGTTACTAGTACAATGCCATTAGTGATATTTTTTTTCCTTTATAGAGTGATACCATTTCCTTTATAGAGTGGCAAAATAGCAGAAATGGTCGATAAGTTAGAACCACATATTATTGAACAACTGGCAAAGGCTAAAATATTGGAATTGCAACGTCTGGAACAAGAAATAAGGGATCAACTGGATGTGGATGGTGGTGCTACTCATAATATTAAAGTTTGTACTTTTTTCAATTTCAGTCCTCATATTTCCCAACAATTAAAATGATTATTTCTGGAAAGTTACTGTGTCCAAATGACATCTTCTGACCTACACACTCTTCTAACTACATTTTCGTTATATTTGACCATTTCGGATGCCATTTGATTTCGGGTGACATTGGCTGTTTCTTTAAAGTAAAACAAGAAAAAAGTTCTAACATGGGCAAATTAGGCGAACATCGTGTCAGTCAGAACTGCAGGTATTAACAACATACAGATCTCCGATGATTCGTTTTCAGCGAACATTTCAACCATCAAAACACGTTGAAATGTCAAAAGCTATGTAGGAATGTTAAGGCCCAAAATACACGACAGTGAAATTATAAAGCGACAGTAATGATTGAAAAAATTATGAGGAAAAGTAAATTGGGGTTTGCATAATAAATACTTTAGTAACTCCCTGTTCTTTGATGTAGATGATTAGCAGAGAGTTATGAGGGATATTTGGTAGCATTTCTTTATTTGAGGATTTAGGATGTTACCTATTATTTTTGACTATGTTTTCATTATTTTAGATACCAGAGCATTTGGATTTCAACAACTGGGAAACGTTCAGCCAAGAGGATCTACGCAAACTTGTCGTCAAAGTTGGTTTTCTGTTATCCTTTACGGATATTTTATGAATCATATATCATATAATTGCAGATAGTAGCTGATATGGATGAATTGGAACAACGGCGAAAACGAGACTTCAAACAGTATGAAATGAAAAAAGCGGAAGAAGATCATAAAATGGTATGCGTCAGTTTACTGTTTTTACAATGGTTTCGAATGAATGTAGAAAAATGTTGTTCTTTGGAACGGTTTCCTATTAGGCCAAGCTTGTGCTCTCTTTCTTCAAGTGAACTAAGCATCTAGCCTTTTAATGTATTGGTGTATTGATATTCCGTGGGTTGGTTTTTGACGAGGCGGATTTTTAGATGCAAAGAGTCCAGTCAGTAAGTATCATCGTTTAGGTGTGAAACATTTTCCTTTAAAAGACAGAAGGACTTCTTACATATTTTCTTTGTCTTTTGAATGTTATTTGTGACAAAACGTTGGATTTGACACATAAGGCAGGCACAAATGGTTCAAACGGAACGGGAGCAGTACATACAACAAATGGAGGAACAACGGAGGCGGCATAATAAACATGAACCACTGAAGCATCCAGGAAGTCGTAATCAATTAAGAAAAGTTTGGGAAGATACTGACAAGGTATTGATTAAATAAGACAGCAAACTACTCTGGATCGTAACTTTTTCCCTCTTCTTTGCGGCTATTTTGAAATTCTTTTATTTTTGTGTCGTTTAAAAATTATAGATCCAAGCACCGTATGTTGTGAACGGGAAAGTAATTTGAAGGCTAGTTTTGAAGATGACTTAGTCTAAACTTATTCTTTTGACTTCCTACTACTCCTAGGGAACTGAGACTATTTTGCAGCTCGACAAAGATGCATACGACCCAACAACGCTCTTTGGTTTGCATGATAGAAATGATGATGGTTACTGGAGCTATGATGAGTTGAATACCATCTTTTTACCAGAAATCGAGAAACTTAATAATTTTTCTGATCTTGAAAGGTGAATTTTTGCACTCTCAAAAACAAGGATATTAATAAAAAGATATTAATATGGTCGTCATAACACGAGATCTTCAGATATCAGCCAAGTTCTGGTAGTTTATATCTTTTTATTTCTCCTGTTTGAAAGTAAGCTGTTTCTTTTTTTGAGTTTTCCAACACTCTTCGTAAAAATCATTCAAATTTTCCATAATCTTCAAAAATCACAATAAGAAGTTTCTTAAGTCTTTTTCAGGCTTGAGGAGTTGTATCGAATGCGTGACCATGTAATGAAACAGATGGACACAGATGGTGATCATCGTATTTCGCTTGCTGAATTTCTTGCGGTTTGTGTTATTGTATTTTAAGTCTTCTGTGGAAAAGTTGTTTCAAGCACTTCGTATATGTTACCATTGTTTCAAATTTGAATGTGACATTAGGACAGAGAGGCACAAGAAGAAAAACCGGATCAGGGCTGGGAAGATATTGGCGACAAAGAACAATACACCAAAGAAGAATTAGAGATTTTTGAAAAAGAATATGCAAAGCAACAAGGATGGGGTGAATACGCCTATTCGACACCTGCGCCTACGCCTGGTCCTAGTCAAATGAATCATCCTGACCAAAAATCAGTGCAGAAACATAGTGCAGTTACCAACCAACTTGGTAAAATGGACATGAAACAACCCCATCAAATTCCAGTACAACATGTTGAGCCTATTCAACCTTTGCAACAGCATCAGATGGATGAGGTTAACGTTTAAGATCCTTAAGTGAAATTGTTAGCAAGAGGATGTTTTGTATTGAAGTTATTTTGTCAGTGAGAAGATAGGAAGTTCTGCAAGACTTAAACATAGTAGTTCTATTGGAGCAGCTCGCATGTTAGGTAGGACGGCATAAATCATTTTTACTCCTCATATACTTTTTCCGTCCAATATTGCTAAGTTCTCCTAAATACTTTCTTAATGAACCACATTTTCATTTCATCTCTTTTTATTAATACACACTTGACTAATTTCAGCACCCAATACAACATGTTGACAGAACTTATGGTGTCTGATTTTGAATATCGACATACCTTACATTATATTAGGCAGTGGTTTACAGTCTGTCGTAATTTTTCCGTACATACTGTTTTTGTTTCATGTTTAAAATAAGTTAAAAGCACCATAAATTATTTTTTCGAAATCGTTACCGCTCGTTTCCGTTTTCCACATGATAGGATTTCAGTTTTTTCCCCGTCATTCGATTCATTTTTATATAGGAATTTCCGAAATTTAAAGTAATCAACCCATCAGGAGCTGTGTCTACTTAAATTATCATTTTGATGTTGGAAATGTATAGCGTATTAAAATAAACTCAAAGAACTACAACCTGTACCACTATAATGCGTCCATACCTGAAAGTATTGTTTAGCCTCAACTCAAGATGTGTTGGGATAGAAATAACAATTTATCAAATTGTTAAGGATATTACAGTCATCGCATTCACCATCACATTATTTGATGCAAGCGAATAGAAGAAAACACAGAAAGTGATGATTATTACCCGCCGAGAATGGTTCTTGTCACTGTCAAAAATGAAATGACGGATGACTTTCACATTTCTTAATTGAAGGTAACTTCAAAAATAACCTACAGAACTATTGCAAAAAAATTAAATAAGATCTAAATTCATGCATCGTGCTGAGCTATTAGGACGTAAGAATGAGCAGTAAAATTATGCGCGGTTCTCGTAAAATAAAAAACACGCACAGTTCCGAAATACGGACGCCCAGGACGCCCGGGAACGAATGAACTAGTAATTCATTTCCCCATTACTACAGTAAAATGGGAAATATAATTTGACAAAAAGGAAGGGGAACAAATAAAACGACATTCAGGACTGGGAATTTAGCGTAGATCCATCAGTCAAGAAATAGCAAGAAAGCGACCAGTAGTGGAAATCAGCAGAAAAGCTCCTCTGGCAAGGTTTGGCCAATCTGCGTCACACAGTCCTCTTGTTGGTCACAATCATTTGTCCAGCTTAAATCGTAGCTGGACCTACTTTAACCTCAACTGCCACCACCCAACGGGGGACATGACATTCCGGACGGAAATGTTGGACGTCCTATAGGACGCCGACCTGTTCCATACCCATGACCACCTAAAATATAAAGGTTTGGATTAATCTTTTCTTAATGGTTCCTAAAGGCAAATTGAAGTCTAAAATCTAATTACAACACAATGCAACTTGAACGCTTCTATATATCCGTTATGTTACAACTCTTACCTCT